CACACACACACACACACACACACACACACAAAACCAACAACGGGCCCTTCAATTCTCGACTTCATTGTTTTTCTCCTTGTTCTGTTGGCTTTCCTTCAATCAAAGGAATGCTTCTGCGCTCGCTTTTGGCTCCGATCCCTGACGTGTAGATGAAATAATTTGGTGCCAAGGAAACTATTTAGCCAATGTTGCAATGTGGCTTCCGGGAGTTGAACTATACTGCAGGGGAGGCGGGAATCTGGCATGGCTACCTGGGGGGGTCTGTCTGCTGGGCAAGAGTTGGGGAAAGTGGACCTCAGCAAGCCTGAGGGCTGGGGGGGGGGCTTGGCAGGACACGGGACAGATCCCCCTCCCCAGGCTGAGGAGGGGGAGCAGCACTCTGCTGCCACCTGCAGGAAGAAGTGAAGGTGTGTAGCCTCTATACCAGTGTTTCTCAACCTTGGCCACTTGAAGATGTCCGGACTTCAACTCCCCAGAATTCCCCAGCCAGCATTCGCTGGCTGGGGAATTCTGGGAGGTGAAGGCCGGACATCTTCAAGTGGCCAAGGTTGAGAAACACTGCTCTATACAATCTCCTTCCCCTGAAAACGGTGCTTCCTGGCATCACCTGGGTGGGGTGGGCAGCCTCGCTGGCATCGAGCTTATGCTATTTGCATCCCAGCACCCGTTTTCCATGCTTGAAAGCCCGCTATGGAGAAAGTTTCCTGTTGCGCAAAGCTCCGCAGTGATTGTCAGCCGCGTGCCAAAGTTACTAGTCCCTCTGGGTGTGGAAGAGCGGTTAGTGCGTACACCGGAGGCAAATAAAGGGCAGCTGGCCATCGGCCACTTTCACTCTTTAAGGAAGGAGGATGCCCAGGAGAGGAGAATCGGGACTGCTGGTTGCTCCCTCGGGCAGCGCCTGGTGGAAGGAGCCTTGGCCCAGATGCCAGCGGGAGGAGGGTTACGCAGAAGCAGATGGCAGCTGTTTTGAAAGCGCTAGGGAAAGCATCCAATGAGATACGCTGTGCCTTGTCCGCTCTCCGGCCACCCCCGTGCCCCAGGCATCCCCTCATCCCCTGCTAATCTGGGCTGCAGGCCCCCTCCCCACAGGGCTACTTCAGACCCGCCTCTCGCTGAGCGAGGCAAAGATTTGCTCTCTTTTCTGGCTCTTCTGTGGGGCTCAGCGGGTCCAGGGTGCCAGCGCAAAATGCAGCGGCCCAATCAAGGGAAAGGGGGAAGGAGCCGAATGCCCGGTTGCAAGAAAGGCCACCTGAGGCTGGATCCCTAAATCCCGGGGAGGTAAAATGCCCTCATTCTGCCTGGCAAGCACCCCGAGGAGAGCCGTGACTCATTTCGGGAGGTAGGCAGTGCCACAAGCCAACCGGAGCCAGCCAGAGCGACGACGGCAGGGGACTTACGGGAAGCTGATGCTGTCCGTCCCTTTCTCCTCCCTGCGGAAAGGAGAACAAACAATCTGACAATCTCGGGGTCATCTGACCTTTTAAGTAACTGCTTTTCTCTACATGGCTGGGCCTGGCTTGGCAGGACAGGGGACTGATCCCCCTCCCCAGGTTGCTGCTCAGCAGAGGAGGGGGAGCACTCTGCTGCCACCTGCAGGAAGAAGTGAAGGTGTAGCGTCTATGCAGGCTCCTTCCCCTGAAAACGGGGCTTCCTGGCATCACCTGGGTGGGGCGGGGAGCCTCGCTGGCATCGAGCTTATGCTATTTGCATCCCAGCACCCGTTTTCCATGCTTGAAAGCCCGCTATGGAGAAAGTTTCCTGTTGCGCAAAG